CGGTATTTATTTAACAAAATGTAGGCTAAAGAGATGGGCTATTTGGTAGCATACCGAAATTGATAGCTCCGTGTATGCGTCCGTGCACGTGTGCGCTTGTCTATTTTTTCGCCGAACACGGCATATCTCGCCTACCGCGTCGTGCGATTTGATTTGCCCATCTATTTTATTTAATAACTCGAAATTTTACATGGTTATTTGAAAAATGACCTCTACAATATTTTTTCACTTTGATTTGTTCTATTTATATTTTTCTTTTAGTACGTCTTATGCTGGCCATTCTGTATATATACAGAGTGTCCCAGACCACCATGATCATACTTTGCAAGAACGTAGAACGGATTGAGGTAAGCAAGAAAGTTCCGTGCCGTTTTAGATATTTGCAATAGTTTTCGAGAAATTAATTATTTTGTCTGAACTAATGAGCGCACGGGAAGCGGCAGCCGAAAGAAAAATGTCCGACTGGCGCGCGACTGTGACACTCGCGAATCACGGCTCACTGCGTCTTTCCGGCCATAGCTACGAAACACAGTGAGACTTGATACACTAACCCATGTGTATGACATAACCCGTGTGCCAAATCGACGCCAAATCGAAGCGTATCGTCGCTTTGGCTGCATACGTGTATGTAGAGGTGAAAGAGCGAAACGGCAACATTCTCTTGTAAGGAAATGCTACAACCTGCTAAATCGATTTCTGAACGAGACATAGCATGTTCGCTAGCTGCGATATTAAGCATCAACATCCTAATTGGAGTTTATGCCAATGGGCCTTTATTTGTGAAAAATTACAGTATAAAGTTTGGGTTGCGGGACTGTATCACGGATATGGCTAAAAATGCGACTATCTTTCAGCGAGACGGCGTGGCCGAACAGACTGAGGCTTCCACGTCTAAAATTTTTGAACCGGCAGTGAGCGTTCGAAACTCGGCGACGAATTATCTTTGTGCGGTGTTTTTTTTTTCTTATCTTAAGGCATGTAATTAATATTTTTCGAATATGAATACATTTGTTTTGCATATGTCTCGTTTTTATGCTATTAATCAGGGATAATTAGGGAAGTGTTAGGCTCGTTTAACGCAAACATGACACATATTTTGCATTGCTTACAATGAAATATATATTTTAGTACATCACTTTCGCATGAAAACATTGTATACAACATTGTCATATAATAAAACATTGTAATATAATAAAACTTATACGCTATAAACATCTTTCATTTTTTCATAATGTTGCGGATGGATTCAAAATAATGCATTCATTGCATGCAGTTGGTGCAAACATTTGTTATGTTTTCATTGTTTTTATACAGAATTCCATCCGCAACATTGCGAAAAAATGAAAGATGTTTATAGCGTATAAGTTTTATTATATGACAATGTTTTATTATATGACAATGTTTTATTATATAACAATGTTTTATTATATGACAATATTTTATTATACGACAATGTTTTATTATTATGAAAATGTTTTATTATATGACAATGTTTTATTATATGACAATGTTGTATAAAATGTTTTCATACGAAAGTGATGTACTAAAATATATATTTCATTGTAAGCAATGCAAAATGTGTTTATATTCGTGTTTGCGTTAAACAAGCCTGACACTTCCCTAATTACTCTTGATTAATAGCATAAAAACGAGACATATGCAAAACAAATGTATCATATTCGAAAAATATTAATTACATGCACTAAGATAAGAAAAAAAAACACCGCACAAGGATAACTCGTCGCCGGGTTACGAACGCTCGCTGCCGGCTCAAAAATTGTCGGTGTGGGAGCCTCAGTCTGCTCGGTCACGCCGCCTCGCTGAAAGAGAGTCGCATTTTTAGCCATATCCGTGATACAGTCCCGCAACTCAAACTTTATACAGTAATTTCTTACAAACAAAGGCCCATTGGCACAAACCCCAATTAGGTTAACATGTTGATGCTTAACATTGCAGCTAGCGAACGTGCTATGTCTCGTTCAGAAATCGATTTAGTAGGTTGTGGAATCTCCTTGTTAGATTCGGCGTCGATTCGGGATATGTCATGCACATGTGTTAGTGCATCAAGTCTTGCTGCATCTCGTAGCTATAGGCAGAGGGATGCAGCAAGCCGTGATTCACGAAACACACCAACCGAAGATATATTTCTTTTGGCTGTTGTTTTCTGTGCGCTGATTAGCTCAGACAAAATAATTAATTCCTCATTAACTATTGCGAATTTTGCAAAATAGTATTTGACTTTTCTGCTCCATTTAATCCGTTCTACTTTCCTACGAATTGTTATAAGAAAAGTTTCGAACACCCTACATGTATATGTATGTATACACACACACACATACGCAAATGTTCATATTGTAAATGTAATATTTATTTTACTTATTCGCAATAATTTCCTGAAAAACAAAGAATCTTGTATAGTATATATTATTTTGTTACACTAACTGGTAAGTCAATATAACAACGATATCATGACAGAGCATACGCACTGCAGACAATTTGGACTCTATAGCTTTCTCTCTTGCACAGATATTGAATTTATTTTTTATGCCTCTATTCCCTTTCCATTTATATATATTCTAAGAGTAAATCGTGTACGTATATGCGCAACCTATTCTTTATATTTTTATACATAATTTGTCAATGGAAAACAATATAAGAATAGAAATACAAGTACTGTTTGCGATATTTCAATATACAATATGTACAAAAAACATCGCAAGCAGTACCTGCATTTCTATTGTTATATTGTTTTCCATTGACAAATTATGTATAAAAATATATAGAATGGATTGCATACGTGTACGGTTTATTTCAATATATCGGTTAGGTTAGGATTAGTTTCTTTGGAGAAGGGTTGCGGGGGAGAGGTAAAGCCCTTCTTCCGCACATATACGTGTATTGTTGCACAGTACTCTTTTATACATATTTTATATGTATACATCGATTTTTTATTTGATTCGAAATATTTAATGAGTTCATCATAATTGTGTGTTAAATGTAGAAATTCGTGATACAACATATTGTACGAAAATAAAGAATACTGTACGCAATCGTTTCTCAACAACAAGTGAAGAGTATTGAAAATTACTGTTTATATACGTCTATAATTGTATCTATATAGTCAGAACGCATATTAGTAAAAACTGAGAGTATGATACTTGTGTTCACATACTACAATTCTACCTACATAGTGTTAAACAAATCTGTTGCATTTATGTAACTCCTTTTGAAAATAAGTTTTTAATAAACAATAAACGACAACTAAAATCTACATTAACCCATTAATTAACGGCTGACAGTAAACTACGTATCATAGGCTTCCGGAAAGTCTTTAATTCATGGCATTAGGTCGAGATAAAAAAAATAAGACTGTTGGCGCTCCCCTCTTTTCTCAAAATTAAAGATGATGGGTCAATAAGGCGGACCGAAAATTTTTGAAAAAATTTGAAAAATTCATGGATGTTGATGAAAATTGTTATCAAGGGGTTTTTTAGGACGCTGAATTTGAATCTGAACTTAGTTTTGCGAAATATGATACAGCAGATCCAATATGGCCGCCGAAAATTTGTAAACATACGATAATTCCCGAGAAAGTGACTGTTTGTCACTTCATCAAATTCAGCAAAATTAAGTTCAGATTCAATTTTAGCATCTTGAAAAACCCCCTGATAACGATTTTCGTCAATAACCAAGGACTTTTCAATTTTTTTGTCCGCTATATTGGCCCGCCATCTTGATATTTCGGGATATAGCTAAAAAATTGTATCATTGTATTTATTGTGATTTGATGCCACGAAGCCGCAAATTTCAAAGCTTCCAAATGCATTTCATCAGCTTACAGAGAGTCACTTTTTTGGAAACCATCGTATGTTTACAAATCTTCGGCGGCCATATTGAGTCTGCTGTATCATATTTCGCAAAACTAAGTTCAGATTCGAATTCAGCGTCTCAAAAAAACTCCCTGATAATAATTTTCATCAACATCCATGAACTTTTCAAATTTTTGGTCCGCCATATTGGCTTGCCATCTTGAATTTTGAAAAAAAAGGGGAGCGTCAACAGTCTTATTTTTCTTATTTTGATCTAATGTCATGAATTAAAAATTTTCCGGAAGCTTATGATACGTAGTTTAGTCAACCGTTAATGGGTTAAGTTACTTAATAAGATATCCTTAATAACATATGTTAAAATCGAGATGATTGGAGCTAACTCCCTTAATTTAATAAATTAAATAATTACTGACTAAATAAATCTTTCATTTTACTTCAACATGATGCAAGCAATGAAAGAGGAGAGTCGAGATGACAAATAATATTTAATCGAGGTAATTCGGTCTGTTGCGAAAGTAAATCGATGATATCGTTTGGCCTAGTTGCCAAATAGCTCGGCAAAACCGGGTTACCCGGTAAATAGAGCCGACTTGGCGTGGCGCGATTGTAAAAAAACTTGAATCCGATCGTATACATAACTGACAGAGCCCATTAACCCACCACGATCAATCACAGTAATTCGCGAGATATGTCTTATCGAATTGCGACTTGTAATTATCGATATGGCTATGTGTAAACGCAAAGAAACTCGAAAAGGAAATAATTAAATTAACTGTAAATGAATTAAAAGATCTTCAATTGTACGCGACTTATATTTATTACGAAAAGTGAACGACGGTTGTACGAAGCGTGATATCTGTATTGAAATTATTCCAAGTATGCGCGACTAGCGTGTCTCGTGTCTCTTCTAATTAGTCGGTTCAATTATGGCTCTACGCTTTCTCACCTCATTACTGCATGCGTGCACGTTAACAAATTCAACACTTAGACTTAGGAGATATTTCACATACAGAAAAGCACTGTTTACGTGCAATTTAAAAAATTATTAAAGATTATAATTTGCGAATTCAGGAGAGTAAACAAAAAAGTATCTTATGACGAATCGAAACGATTCTACGCGTGGAAGGACTCCGCAAATATCTTTTTATATTTAATTATACAATACCGCACCTGACTTGATCGGCTTCCTTGTTGCACTGTGATTAGGATTAATAGATGTTTTGATGATTGGCGTAGTGGGCAGTTTACTGCGCAACTCACTAATGAGCTTATCGTCACCAGGCGAATTTTCTGTGTCGCTGTCGCTATCGGCCGAACTGACCAGCGACACCATCGTGACCACATCGGTGGTTTTCGAATCCACATAGGCTCTTATCCGTCCACATCGATCTTGTGTCTTCGCGTCCTCTTCGTCTTTACCGCTCGTTTCTGAAGACACCAAGAAGCGTCTCTTCGCGCTTCTCGATCTCCTCTTCAAAGGTGCTGATCTCACCGTTCGTTCACGCGGTATCTGAAGAATAGATTTTTTATTTCCGTCCCATTCAGAGATTATTTTACCCAGGTAATGAACACACGTTATTTTAATGTTAGATTTTTATTCTTCACTGTCACTATTGATGACACTAATTAAGTTACGACTTGGAGAAAAATGACAGATATAATGTCGCAAGAAGTTGATATTACCAAAAGTATTGTGTGTCATTAGAGTGGTCCTTATTTACTCTTGGTCAAATTTTTTTTCGAATATTTCCCGCGGCACCCTCCAAAAAGTTTCCATTTGACGAAAAAGAAATCCCTGCCAAACTTTTACTCGATCGGACAACGAGAACCCGTGTCCCCGGATCGTTAAACATTGGAGTACCTTTATATTAAGCTTTCTGCGTTATCAATATGGTTTTTAAAGCGTATTTTTCACAAAAATCGCCCTAGAGGACTTTTCTTTTTTTCTTCTACATCGTTTGAGATCTTATAGTCTTATTTCAACAATTAAATAAATTGTTGATGACTAAAAAATAAAAATAAATAGTTATTGTATTTATTGTTTGAGGACAATATAAATGTAAAACATGATATCTTTCATGTTTTTATTAATAAAGAAACTTTTTAAATTAAATATTATATAATAATTAATAATCTCGTGGCTCTTAATCTTATGCTAAGAAGGGACCATAGATGTACAGTCTGTTTGATAAGAGCGATAAGGCAAAACTTGATAAATAATTTATTGAAATTATTTGGAGTAAAATACACATATAGTTATTTGGAGTAAAATACACTTGATTAGAACTGTGATGTTTTATTATTAATAACTTGTTCAGTCGCTTTAATAATTGCCTGGCACCTCCGAGGCATACTTTCAACTAATTTTATAGCATATTCTTGAAGTAAAGATTTCTATATCAATTGAATTTGTCGTATTAATTCTTTGACCGATCAAATTTTCTTTCCACGAAGTTTAAATTTCATCAAGGACCAAACGTTTTTGATTGGATTTGTATCCGATGACTGTGACGGCCAATCCAATAATTCAACATTATTTTCTTATTTCCACAAAGCGGTACAAGCCGACTTCGATGTTTAGGATCATTGTCCTCTTGTAGTATCCATTTTTTGTTTTTCCTTATAAACCATGTTTTTTTAGCAGATAGTAATAAAAAGCCTTCTCATAAATTTTGACCATTTTGCTAGCGTTTAAGTGGTTTGCGGAAATATGCAAAGTACCAAATCCTTGCGTAGAGCCATGTTTCGGTAAGTCATCGACATTTTTCACGTTTAAGTAGCGATTCACCAACTTATTTACAAATGCTTTTGATTTTTTCATGTACTTAGCAGCCGCTTGGCGTGACATTTTTGGTCCTTTCGGATGTGTACAAAGAAATACGGCTTCGAAACGCGATGTATATTTGGCATTCATAGCGAAATATTTTTATCACGAAGATCGAATAATAACTAAAGTTTTATCAATAAAGCATCTTAGGCGAAAGGTGTCTACCGGCTCTTGTTTGAATTTTTCGTCTATCCGTTTATATGTAAAAGTATTGCTGGTCACGATCTTATCAAACAAACTGTATAATATCTAGGCTGCGGATTTGCAACATTTCCCATTCTCTGAACGCGTCAAACAATATAAAGAAATAGCATTCTTTCTGTAAAAAGTCTGTTTCTTTCTAAGCTTGTTTTATTCCCGCCACAAGACCACGATAAGTGGGAATAAAATAGCCTTCGTTAGAAAAAGACAAACTTTTTACCGAAAGAATGCTATTTCTTTATATTGTTTGATGTGTATAGACAATGGGAAAACCCGCGGCCTAGGTATTATACATTTATGGTCTCCTCCCAGAATAAGATTACGAGCCACGAGGTTATTAATTATTATGTAATATTTAATTTAAAAAATTTCTTTATTAATAAAAACATGAAAGGTATCATGTTTTACACTTATATTGTTCTCCAAACATACTATTGCAACTTTTATAGTCTTTTTATAGTCCATACATGATTTGTTGTAGTTTAAACAATAAATACAATAACTATTTATTTTTATTTTTTAGTCATCAACAATTTATCTAATTGTAAATGAGACTATAAGATCTCAAATGTAGAAGAAAAAAAGAAAAGTCCTCTAGGGCGATTTTTGTGAAAAACATGCTTTAAAAACTATATTGATAACGTAGACAACTTAATACAAGAATATTCCAATGTTTAACGACCCGGGAGCACGGGTTTTCGTTATCCGATCGAGTAAAAATTTGGCAGGGATTTCTTTTTTGTCAAATGGAAACTTTTTGGAGGGTGCCGTAGAAAAAATTTGAAAGTCGAAAAATAAGGACTACCCTAATGTGTCATATTTTAACATCCTTCTATGTAAACTATGCACAGAGATCTTTTTTTAGATTTAATAAATTCTATTAATTTAAAGAAAATTTAATAATTGGAATAATCTAAACAAACTAATGTTTCAATAAATAAATATTGTTTGATTTTTAAAATATTGCTTAATTGAAAAAAGTTGCTTCATATAATTTATTTATTTTATTAATGAAAATTTATTATTTTGTTTAAAGTGTTTCAAGGAAGTCTCTAATATTTCTATTTTTGTATTCCTTTAGGTTTTTTTATTTTATTATACGTTTTCACATCTTATATGTGTGTGCGTGTGTATGTGTATGTATGTGGATACCTCTATCTTTTTAGTGAATTCGGACTTTGTTGTTTATCAGAGATCAAAGAAGAAATGGTAATCTTTTTTAATAGTGATCAAAAGAAAAATGGCGATACCAATGAGCTGCAACGATATTCTGATAGATTATGCTTATAATGTATATTTATATCGTATATAAAACATTGCAATATTATACTTACTAGTAAACATTAGAAATAATGCAACAACCGATATGAAACAGCCACCTACTATGTTAAATCGATTATAATAAAGCAAATCACAAATACACCCAGTAAAATAAAAAATATGTTGAAAGACGACTAACAGTTATGAAAAAAAAAGTTACCTTTAGATTTTTATATTGACGCTTAAATAAAGCTTGAATAGTGCAGAACCCAAATATTAATCATAAAAACGTGACATAAAAAAAATATCAGCCCTTACCGAAAAGTATTACTGATAATTATTGAAGAAAATACTAGTGATTAATTATTTCGGAGTGATTCAATAATTATTTGACGATTTACTATTATATATAGTAAATTTATTATTGAATTTAAACAAACGTATCTATTAGAATGGTACAGATAAATTAATATATGATTTTTTTGTTTAAGTAATAAAAAAAACTGACATTTTATTTTTACGTTACTGTATCTTTTCACTTTTTATATGTATATCCTTCCGTAGTTTCGATCCTGTAATAGTTAATCATCTTTTTTATGCCGCGATCTCCGTTGCTCGATCTCAATAATCGAATATAAACTGGTGATGCCACTGAGATCAGACGATATCTTTATGAATTATGCTTATAATATATTATTATATCGTTTTCATAAAACATTGTAACGATATATTATTACAATGCCTTCTGGCAAATATTGTTAACAACGCAATCGATATACGACAAATATTGATATATGTTAGCGAATTAGTGATGCTACAATTGCTTTTGAATGTTTAACTAAATGTTATAATGAATCAGAACAAATAATAAATTAGTTTGAAAAATGCAAGATATGAAACAATTCATACTAATCATGAGAAAATTTATATTTATCTTTCTCGTTATAAGAGAAAATAATAATTCGCGCCAGTAATTTATGTCGAGAACTTAATGCTAAATTAATAATTATCATTGTCATTATAATCACTGAATTACTCTGGAATCCTAGTAACTTTGTAATTAAAGCATTGAAAATCATTAGATGTTAACGATAAAATTACTGAGCAATAGTAATTTATTACTGTCCAACCAGTAATATTTTTCTGAAAGAGCATAACGTCATATAAAAGACTTACACATACCGATCATTTTTAAGTCACTGGATGTCATTTGTATGAACATATTTGGTATTTGACGTCAAAATGACGTATGCTTGCTATCTGGGTAGTTATTATACAATGATCAAATTGTCCCTCTTACCTTTGCAGAATTTTCCTCGCTTTTCTCTATGGTGTTCTTGACACCTTGCTGGCTGTGGGCGATCGGTTTATCGCTCGTTGCTTCAGCAAGACTCGGCGCATCGATCACGATGTTTACCTGTACTCTTGCCGCGGATACAATGTTTTCTCCTCCTCGCCTTTGTGGCGGCGCGGAGTTCGTTCTCCTCGTCTTCTCCAAGGAGATCGTGGACGCGCTCTTTATGAGAACGGCGTTCTTGTCGGAGACGATCGGTGATCTCGTATCTGTCGTCGTCGTCGTCTGCTTTTGCATAACGATCTTATCGGTCGATGCGGATGCACATCTTATGTCTGACGATCTCACCGGGACGATCTTGTCCGTCGCAGATTTTTTTGTAAATTTCTCAACCATAGGAACTAGGAAGGCACGATTAGTACCGCTGTGAAAACTCGCGCGCTTTTGCTTCGCCGAGGAGAGGTCGTCGCTCGCGATCTTTGTCGATGCAACCGCGCTCTCCGTTTTCAAGGGCGTAGTCAGAGGATTCGGAGAATGAAGGCTCGTGCAGTCAATACTTATGCGTGTTCTTCTCTTTTCCTCGACGTTTGAATTAACAACATACTTTTTTTCTTCTCCTTCTTCTTTTGCGTTTTCCGCTTTTACATTTTCCTGGTTTTTTCTCGCCATCGAATTGTCTGTCATTTCAGACGCAATCTCCAGCTCGTCGTTACTGATTTCACATTCGATCTCTCTTCCACGATCCTCAAAAATATCATCTTTCAATTCACCGAGAGAATCGCTCGGTTTTTCTCGCGCGTCGATATTCCAATCAAGAGTCTTTTCAGGACACTGGATGGAATCAGGCTCTTTCCTCGGCAGAGGGGTCGCCGAGGCGGACATTGATAGCTCGGAATCACAGCGCTCTTCTACGGCGAAGCCGTGCGCCAAGAAAATATCAATGTTTGCCCTATTCTCCTCACGGTGTTTCCAGGCGAGTCTTAACCGCTCGGCGAGCTCTTGTCGTGAATAGAGAATCGACGCCTTTTCGGCACCGACATAGCTTCTGCCACCAGATCGGCCGCTTGTGGTCTGCTTGGACCGACTTGGGATCTGTCGAGCGACCACCTCCACTCGCTCGAGGTCACCGCCGCAATCGCGCCGATCGTCGCTCCAAGCAATTCGTACCTGCCAATTGTAATGAAATATAGAACTTCAATTGACATGACCCACTCGATTGACATGAGAAAACGAACGTATTATTATATACATATCGACTGACGAACCTTGGGTTTCTCAGATCCATTCGTGGCGAGTCTGCTGCGCGCGATCGGATTCGCATAAATCTGCAGGGACTTGTCGTCTTCCGCTGATCGCTGCCGCCTGATATGCTGCCGGCGTGGCGCGGGCTGTTGTAAAGACAATTGCCTGATCGGTCGCACCGTTCTTTTACCGTTAGACATACTCAAGTACTAATCTTCTCAATGCATGTTGTCAATAATCATAGAAGCACTCGGACGAAGAACAACGCGCCAACATTCCTATCGACGGCGCGCGCGGCCGAACGCCAACTAACTAACTGCTTTCATTCCTTACCTTCTACCACCCTCCAATGTATCAAGACCAAACCTAGTTCAACAACACGCCCGACTGGCAGCCGGTGGGCAAATCTCTTTCACTCCCTCTCTCTCTCTCCCTTTCCCCTTTCGTCCCTTTCTCCCTCTTTGACGGGAGGTCAACACTAAACTATTGCTATACTAATACTACCATTATATACAACCACGTGTTCCGTCATTACCTTCGATCACAGACATTGTTAGCCTTACCACTCAGGGTGGTCGAACTCGCAATGACGTAACAACGCGATGTCTGTATAGGCGTTATATTATATATGATATCGGATCCGGCTTAAATCTTACACGAATTTAATCCGCTTAGTGAGATTGATAAAAATATAACAAAGCGGATAAAAGCGCGAGGTTTTTAGAGAAAGCGATTAATTTCAACGTTTTATTGTAGTTCTAAGATAGTCTTGTAACGAGAACGGTGACCTAAATTCGTAAGCTTCAAGGACGAAGAATTAGCATCTTGATTGAAAATCGCATCGCTCATCCATTCTCTATGACTCAGACTGGTACATTTCGCCCATCGCTTCATCACGTGTCGGAACCTTCTCTCGTCTATCCTTACCGCTATTTTTTACATCCGGTAGCCGCGTTTTGTTGTTTGGAGTCGTCGAAATCACCGTGGGATTCCGTACCGAACTCGAACTCTGTCGGCAGGCAGCCAGTCACCCAGTATTATTGATCAAAACTTTGCCCATCATCTGACAGCTTGTTGTCCGCAGTTGCCATGGCATCGAGCGATCATTCGAATTCGCCGACGGATTGACTTCTTTTCTCGACTTCGTTCACTCCCTTAACTGCCTCGATACTTCGGTTACGATGGCTTGTCGACGATGACGCAGAAATTGAAACGAGAAACTTTCGGCAAATCGTGGCGAAACTACCGTCGATTAGAGCGGAGCTGCCGAGGGTTTAATTAGCCCCCTTCTTATCAGGAAACTTCGAGCATTGCCAAGAAATGTTCGAGGCCCGGTTTCCCCGTCTATTGCAAGCGATTAATAGCGGGAGATTAGATACGATTATGTTGCTTGGTCTATAGTGTAATAAAGCATTTCCTTCTCGTATATTACAATAATTTATGTTATTTATGTGTTTTTTAGAATATGTCATGCGGCAATGCACCTAACCTTTTCGGACACTCCTTCGAGCCGGATGATCTCAAGAGTCAAGTGTCAAAATTACAAATATCCTTTAATAGATCGATCAATACGCATTTACCTATTATTCAGCTTGATTAATCCTTAACATTTCTATTGTTTTCTTTATCACGTGTTACTAGAGAATGAAAATTTTACTCTCGACACTGAATGCTTATTACAAACGCTGGAACAATGTTTTCTCATTTGTGCGGCCGAATCGCTCGACGAGCAAATTTTTAGAAGAATTCTACCGAAAGCTCATCGTTCGTTGTCGCAGGTAATTCGCTAAATCTTTTTACAGCGATGATTTTACGCCGTCTCACTTATATCTAATATTTATTATCTTATATTTAATACGCTGCAATATATCTGATTTTTACAATATCAAAGGTCATAAAAGCCATCAATCAGAGAATGAGCGATAACGAGAAAGTCGACAATCTAGACGACGTGAAGCGCAAATTACATTTCTGCGACGGATTACTTTTATTTTGGCGGAAATGTATAGAACATGTTTCCGCACTCATAAAAATTCGGGCTCTTTATGTTACATCATTATGCAGTATTTTGCCCGAAACGATAAAGATCATCTTCGAACATTGCAAAGTCAGGTATTATTGGTATCGATATGTTTCGTCTAATAAACACGATACGTTTGTTTGAAACTTTTTTCTGTTATGAATAAGTTAATATCGAATATAACTCTATATCCGCGCGGAAGAAATATATAATTATATAAAATTAAACATATATATGATACATAAATTACACATATAATCATATATAAAAATTATATATAAATATTTACTTTCTGATAATCTCACCTTAATACTTTTGTACGTAAAATGAGAATAGAATGAGGATTTAATTAATTGTTGTAAAAAAAGAAAAAAGAAAAATCCCAGATATTCATATGATAGTACTGTGGCAGCACAGTGTCAGCAAATTCGATCATGCCTTTTCAGCAGATACCGATCTACTGCGTCCGCATTAAGCTTAGTTTTTGACAACACGATCTGGTAATATAATGTGACGAAAAAATGCAGTAAAATTCGAATATATCCTACTAACACTAAGTATCAACAGAAGTGTAACAAAACTTGTGCACATCGTGTTTTCACGGCGTGGCAACAAAAACGTAGCAAAAATCAAGCAGAATGTACCGTCACAACGTGACAACAGAATCGCGACAAAATTAGAGTACGGCCTGCCATCACGGCATGACAGCAGAAACGTAGCAGAAATCGAGCAGAATTTACCCTCACAACGTGACAGCAAAAACGCAGCAAAAATCGAGCAGGACGTGTCGTCACGAACTTCTAAAAATATTCATTTTGAATTACCTATGGAACAATAGATGTATGCTTTATAAATTTTTTTATATATGATATGTATTACTTTTTTCTAACAAAAATTATTCGTAAATGTTACAGCGTTTGCTGAATTTATTTGAAAATTTTAGATTACTTGATTCTAATGTTACATTACATTTAAAAATTCTCACTGGCACTGATGGGACTCGAACTTGAATCCTCGAGGCATCTCTCGATTGTGAATCTGTTGCTATAGACATTACACCACTTCATTGATCGATATAAATGTCTTACATTTTGTCAATATATATTGTAATTAACATAGTAATATAATTTTCTGATAATATGATTTAATAAAATGATTTAATTTCGATAAAAATTATATTTTTTGTAGTTTTATTGTTAATTTAACCCTAGCTAATGAGGTGATGTCTAAGTCTCGCACATTCCATTTCGTTATCTCTAAATTTTTATAGTAAACATTTTTTTTATTGTTAACTGTTATTAAATAGACAAAATCATAAAAGACTATAAAGATTGAGTAATTATAAAATAGTACAATTTAAAAAAAGAAAAATCTATCTTATTATATAAGATTTAATGAAATTAATTAAATTTATGTATAAATCTATAAAAATTAACGCTTATTATAATTGATGGGGTATCTGTCTAATGTAACCATAAAATGTAAATAAGATTAGATAATAATAGTAATTTCTCACGAATTCTCAAAATATTCCAAGGAATACTTCGCGAAATATTCATTATAATATTTTTCTTCTCTCTCTTTCTCTCTCTCTCTCTCTCTCTCTCTCTCTCTCTCTCTCTCTTCTCTTTCTCTTTATATTAAAAAGGAAATATTTAAAAAAGATGTTCTCTTCAGATTTATGCTTTCTTCAGATGAAGTTCCGCGTGATCTTCGTTTATACATTATTATGAGAGAATATGTACCCAAGTAGGGATTTACTACTGGCATCAAAGTGGCCCAATACCGATTTATGATAATCGTTACTGGCATAGTACTAGATGCCGGTACGGGTTTAGTATTGCTATGATACTGAGATGATAGAAAAGGGCCAGTATCGGAAAACAGTACTGTCACAGTACCGAAAATCAATAATGTACCAGTATAAAAAAAATATTGATTCCTAGCACTGGGGAAATACCTATTCCCATTACTGGGCCAGTATCGATTCCTAGTAATTTTTATTATTTGTACAATTATTAATATCACAATTATATAATATGGGAACAAAGATCAAACTATGACCCTCTTGTAGTACAGGTGTATTTTTAATAGTCATATAAGGAAAAAAATCTTCGGGGCGAATTGACGGTTGGAATTGAACTCGAGTCTACCGCTTGTCAGGCAAGCGTTCTTACTACTGAGCTATCTAGGTTTCACGTTAATGACCTCTTCCATTTTCCCATAAAGACATTGGTATCGTCTGTTTTTCGGTACCGGCACAATACTGGCTCAATATTCTGTATTGGCAGATTGTATACGATTTTTACTTGGATATCCAGTACTGATTCTACAAATAGGGCCAATACCAATCATACAGCTTTTTTAATACTGAATCAGTACCGAAAACGACAAACACTTTTCGATAACGCCCCAGAACATGTACGGTACGATTATCCAGTATCTAACCTTAATATGGAGCCAGTACCAATAATACAGCTTTTTTATATTAGGTCCAGTACTGAACCAGTACCAAAACGGGACATCCGCTTTTCGGTATCAACCCAGTATCGGGCCATTTTTCCGTACTGGCGAATTGTATACGATTCCTAGTTGGGTAGTTAAAACTAAAAAAATCTGGTTAAAAAGATCAAATAAAATATTAAAATAAAAATCTTTTCGCAGTACTGAGAGAAAAGAGAAGAATTAATTCTCCCGCGTTTTAATTACATAAAAAAATATATAAAAAATGTGTAATCGCGCTTAGTGCGCACACACCAGTGCTGTTGAAAAGATTTTTATTTTAATATTTTCTTTGATCTCTCTTTTTAATCAGATCTTCCTTTAACTATATATTCTCATGATGATGTATAACGGAAGATCATGCGATCTTCATCTGAAGAAAGCATTAATATCTGAAGAGAATATCTTTTTTAAATATATTTTTTTAATATAAAGAGAGAGAGAGAGAGAGAGAGAGAGAGAGAGAGAGAGAGAGAGAGAGAGAGAGAGAGAG